CAAAGGGCATCGCTACTAGGAGCAAAGGGCATCGCTACTAGGAGCAAACTTGGATGGGCTGGGGTGTTGCTAAGTGGTTAGCAAAACTAAGACTGTTAGTAACCTGGAACTATCACTATGTTAACCTACCACCAATATCATGCTAACACATTACAACATGGTATGAAAATTGCAAAAGTTACTAAGTCTTATAAAAAATTAGCTAATTATGTTTTTTTGGGAGTTAGCAGAGTTACTAACAGTTAGCTATATTTTCAAACTATGTTCCCAGAAGAAAACATCTTGTATAGTTGCAACTTTTTTCTATGTCCTTGTCATTGTAAACACCCTATGGGTGTACATCAGAGCAGCCAGGCACAACATTCTGTGCTGGCTCAGTGTGGTCTCAAAACAATGAAAGGCTCAAATGTGTTTTGCTTTTTTTCAGAGCTTTTCCATAACAAAGGCTAAGGTGCATTTCTCCAAAAATGCTTGGGCACCAATGCCTTCCAAGCCTCAAACTCATGTTTGTAGCAAGGCTCAGCCCTTGGCTTGTTGAGCTCAGATTTGCACTTAAAGCTTCCATCAATGTTTTTGATAGCCTGCAAGGGCTTTTGTGTACAGCTGGCTTCATTCTTTTTTGTCACTGGGGTAGTGGCAGAACTTCTGGCCCAAGCCACTCTGATATCGAAATGTCAGAAGAAGAGGAACAAGAGTCCCAAGAAGTGTGTGATGAGCCTTCAGTGTCCATTGCCTACAAGCTGGAGGTGGCCTTCCATGGATCCAAGCCAGTGCCAATTCCCAGTTCATTTGTGGTAGAAGATGATGAAGGAAAGAAATATCTCAAAATCCAAGGAAGTGCTCCTTGGCTGTCCAGGCTGCTGTGCAAATGCTCCAATCGAGAGACCTCATTGGACAATGGGCCCAAGCTGTCTGACCTCAAGAAGAAGAGGAATGAACAACTTCAGCCAAAAAGTTCTGATGGCAACAATGTGGCTGAAAAGAAGATGAAGGCCCCACAGGTGGTTTGCATTGATGTGTGCAACACTCAAGTGCAGATATTGTGCCACAAAAGCGAGCACTCCAGGCAGATCTGTTGGCCTTGCTTCAGGAAGACCATTTGGCACCTGTCTTTGAATATTTGAAAAGTGATTGTACAGGTGAAGAGACTAGGAGGACCTACCAGAAGAGTGGGAAGTTTGCTAAGGGTGTGAAGAAGGACTAGTGATTGACATTGGGCTATTTGGCATCTGGCAAGGTAAAAAAGAGTGGCACAATGTCTATTACAAGTTTTTGCATGATGGGCAGAGATGCAAAACCTAATGGGATGCTGTATCTTTTCAAGGTTTGCCCTTTAGGGCTTTCCCTTCAAGCTGTGGTTTGGCAACACAGCCTTTGAGGGCTTTCATTTTGTGTTTACATGAATACTTTTGGAAAGTGAAGGTTTTGAGATTTGTATAGCTTTTTGGTAATGAGAGCATCTTTAGGAAGCATCAATGCAATGCTGACATTCAAGGCTCATGCGTTGGGCATGGGCTGTTTGCCCACACTTGTGACAGACATGGCAGAGTGCCAAATAAAATACTGGTTCAAGACATCTGTTGCATGTTCACAGTGTGTTTATGGGGGAACATTTGAAGCTGGCAGTGGCCAGTCTCCTCAGCCCTTCCTGTACCCTTGGCATCAACATTCGGTTGCAGAAGGTGTTGGGTCTACTCCAGCAGGCTGGCTTGGTATACAGCATGTCTTTGCGCCCAGCTGACTTCATGGTTCACCCCCAGAATAGGGGAGGGTCAATGCTCAACGCATGGAGCTGCCACCGAAAAGGCAGTGACATCTTAGCAGGAGGTATCAAAGCAGATTTGTTGCCTCCCAACAGTTTGGCTGTGGAGATTGCCATTGATGAGAAAACCAAATCTACACAGATTTTAGCCAATGAGAAAATGATCCAAGAATTTTAAGGGCTCTTAGCACCTCTCAGCAAGAATGAACGCTATTTGACTGTGGCCAACTCACATTTCATCCAGTGGGCAATGCAAGGGTGCAGGTGGAGCTACTCACACCTACTTCTGACCTCAAGCCATTGCTTTCCCGTCCTGGCAGATCATTTCTTCAGAGGCAGAAAGGCAATTTCCTGACCTCCCCCAATTTGCATTGATGGCCATGAATTCAGTGAACTCAAGCGCCATAGCATCTGGTGAGTTAGAGTGTATGCTCACCCTGGCAGAGCTTCACATTTCTGGCATGAAGATGCAGGATGCCATGAATGCAGTGCAGAGTTCAGCACCGGTTTGCAAGAATTACTTGGAGGATGTTTGGCACTATTGCAAATTGTTCTCTGGAGGGCCTTCCTTTCCATTGCTCAAGTGCTTAGACTGCTTTTGCACTTTGTCATTTCAATAAATCTTTCTATGTCCTAGCTTGTGGTTTGCCAATAAAATGATACTAAGTCTTGTAGTGGACTTTGTATTTGGAAATTCAAGGCAAATCCCATCAGCATACACTATTAATTGGTGAGGAGATGATGAACCACTTGGCATGGTTTGACTTCAAGCTCCCAGGGCACTCCTTGGCTTTGACAAGGACTGCATTGGCAGCAGCCATGCTGACCTCAAAGAAGCACCAAGATGGAGTCAGCAAACTCATATACAAAAGTGATTTCGACAGATTGAAGGGCAAAGCCTCTACCAGGCAGCTAGATGAGATGCTGACCTCAATGTGGAAGCAAGCAGAGGAGCTCAAGAATCCTGACTTGGCATATCGATGTTGGGGTACTGCAGCTGTCAGGCTGGTCCTTCACTGTCTCAACAAAGAGAAAGCTGCTAAGGCAGAGGCCTATGAATCCTTTGAGAAAATAGTTCAGCTTTTCTCTGAGGAGCTGACCAGATCTCCTTTAACAAGGCCTATTGACTCAAGTGCATCTACAGGTGGACCAGATGCAGGTGTGAGGGACTTGCTGAATGCTTCTAGCCAGGAAGTGGCCTTGTTGCAGAATAGCCATATCAAGATTGGAGGGAGGTATGGTGGTTGCATTTATTGAGCTGCAAGGTTTTTTCTATCTTTTGTTTTTTTATGTTGCCTACTGGATACCATGCCCTCAAGCCTGTGATTTGGAAGCCAAATTGAGGTACTGCAACAGTGAGTACCCAGACCAGCTGCTTGTCCTCAAGAGCCTGGATGACCACAAGGCCACTTTTGAGCATCGGCCTTTGTTTGGGGAGGCACTGGTGGTTCATGAAGACTTAGACTCATTGAGAAAATGGAAGGCCACCAAAAAGGATGTCACTACAATGTGCCCAAAGGCAGTGTGCATTGCAAGGCTCCCACACAACCTTGATATGGTGCAGAAGGAGATGGACAAAGCGCAGGCCACTGCCTTGTTGATGGAGGCATACATGACCAACAAGCCTAATGATGATACTTTGCTGGCCTTCACTTGTCACCCAGCCAATTTGGTTTTGATGAAGAATGTGAAGAAGAAGCAGCTCAAGCTATATCCTATGGGCACTTGCTCTTTTATACCAGCCAAAGAGCAGGAGACATTCCTGGAGAAGACCAAGAATGCGGTGGTATGGTACAAAGAGAAGCCATACCAAGTGCAAGCTTTCAAAGCCTTTAGTAGTTTCACCAAGCCTGACACTGAGGCAGGCACACTTTGCCCATACTTCTGGGTGAAAAGCTGTGATGACCAAGAAGAGGTCAATTTGCAGAAGAGTTGGACTGTTTACAAGGGACTGAAGATCCCAATCTTGGAGAATGGGGAGATGATCGAAGCACAAACAGTGCTGTTGAAGTCTGCTGAGCAGCTTGAACAGCCACCTGCCAAAAAGGGAAAGGCTAAGGCATCTTAGATGCACTCAGCCAAAGAAGCTTGCATGCTTGCAGAAAACACTGCAGCCCTCGCAACTTCAATAACTGGTCTGGAAGCAGGCCTTCACAAACATTCAGTGGTTCATTTGTTGTGTTTTTAGGCCTTCTAAGATCTGTGTTTTGTGTGTAATTTGCCCTTGGGGCTTTTGCTACTGTTTTGAAAGCTTTTGTGATGTCATCTTACAGAACATGCACTGTAAATCTCTTTTGTGTTCCCTTTGCCTTTGAGGCTTTTTCTTTTACTAGGGCCTTTTGGACTTTCATTTTGCTGCATCTGCGCATGCTCCCTGCATGCAGATTGTTTACTATATGTTTCATCTTCTCATTGCATTTTCTGCTCATGACCTCTCAGCTGTGCAAAGTGTATGTGGGAAACACTGACAGATGATGCTAGTTTTCCAAGTCTCCAAAGTCATGGAGTGTTCATGAGAGCATAGATAAGTTTGTTGTACTTTGACGACTACCTCTTGAAGCCATGAAGAGGGCCAGTGAACAAGAACCTGCAGAACAACAAGAAGCTGCAGAAGCACCATGGAGAGTGCAAAGAAAAAGGGTGAAGCTGCAACAACCTGAGAGCTGCACTGAGGAGACTAGCCATATTTAGATGTAATCTTTGTTGTATTGTCTAGTGGTTGGAATCCCCACTGGACTACCAATTTGCCTAGAATATCTTTTGGCTCTTCACTTACACCTTACACTAGCCTGTGTTATGCTTAGGTCAGTTTATTTTAACATCAAGTGGTTCATTTGAGCATTTTCTGTCCAAGGTAAACACAGAGGATACCAATGCTAACCTTCAGAAAGATGCTTTGGACTTTTTGATCCAGTTCACCACCAAGATGGAAGAGGCGCAACTATGGCCTCAAGGTGAAGAAGAAGGAGCAACTTCAGCTCCAAGCTCTTTGTCCAAGGGAACAGCACAGGATGCATCTTCAGGAGTAGTTGCTGGCTGCAGAGCCAAGGCCAAATGTGGACCTCCCTTGCAATTGCACCAGGGTCTTCTACCACAGCTTCTTGAGCCTCAGATCTATAAAGTTCCTCCTCCTGAACAAGTTGCTCCTCCTCAATTGAAGGCATCTCCACCTATGAGCTCTGTTCCCTCTATGTCGACAAGGTTCAGTCCAAATTTGGCACCTGGCCTTCCAATGTCTCTTCAACCTGATCTTTCTGGAAAAGACAAACCTAAGCTTGTTTGCACTCCTTTGGAAATGCAAAAGTTTCTATATGGACAAGCCAAAGCTGTATCTGACCAGGCTTGCAGGTTCACATACATTGAAGAAAGTGTTTTACAATACACTTTACATGGACTTACAACATTTTTTTGTGACAATGATAGATTGATAGATTTCATCAATGTGTGGACCTGCCAGGAAGTGGAATGGGAAGCTCCTTGTCAAGGAGGTGGCTGGTTCAGGAAAGTGGGCGGCCTGATTGTGGCCTGGAAGCTGGGAGAAGTACATCGAATGAGGAGGCTACTCCAGAGGTGGGATGATATTCCCCAAATGAAGACATGGACCAATAGTTTGGCTTCCCATGTAAAGAAGTTTGGATGGCCAAAAAACCTTGATGGTGAGTTTGGCATGCTTACCAAGTAGATACAGTGGACATTTTGCATCAGATCTGATTGAAACACATTGTTCAGAGCTGTTGTATCAAAGCTTATTTTTTTGCGCCTTCTACAGGAGGCTGAACAATTTGCACAGATACTCAGTCAAACAACTTTCAACTTTCTATTGTCATTTTCCAGATGTTATCAGGTGGAGTACTGCATTACATAAACATGCTTTTGTTGCAATATTGGCAATCCAAGGATGATGGCTGCTGATCCACACCTTGCCAAACTTTTCCAGTCCTATAATGTAGTGCAAGGCTTGGAAATGTTTGGTGCCTGCCTACAAAGGGCAGTGGAGGGATCTACAGTGTTCCTTCCTAAGAGTAGGCTTTGACAACAAATAGCCAGCCAGAGTCTTCCAAAAAAGTGTATACAAACAAATTGGAGCAGTACACACGCCATGTTTCCAAGCAAATGATTTAGTTTATGTTGATATCAGTCTACAATGGTTGAGGTTTAAGCTAACCATACATTACAACCTAAAACATCTGCCAGGATTTGCCCAGTGGGGCTTTCACTTGTGACTTCTTTGGTTTCTTGCCCGGTGGGGCTTTTGTTTGTGAAATGCTTTGTGGCTTGCCCAGTGGTGCCTTTATGTTATTCTTATAGGGTTAGGGCTCAAAGGGGTATTGTGAGCCAATTTCTTGTTGTCCATTGCTGTGAAGCAGCATGGCCTTTTGGGATGTTGCAGACCTTCAAAAAGAGATAGCTGATATGGAAATTATTTCTGGCAGGAACAAGGGTTCTGAGCTGCTGCCTAAGATGAAGGATGCTTTGAAAGCAAAGGTTGCAGGTGTCCAACTCATGTCTCCATCATCCTTTGTGAAGCTCAGTGAAACCTTGGAGAAAAGCTCTTTGCCTATTGAAATCAAAAAAAGAATTGGAACAATGCTTGGAGGAGAAGACTGCGTCTTCAATCCAGGGGCCAACAAGGTTGCAAACCACACCCCAGAGTATGACAATGCCTTTCAATTACCTCTCTCAATCTGAATGGCAACTGGTTGAGGCAGGGTGCTCCAGCATTGATGTTACCAACCTTTTGGTAAAAAGAATCAAACTATGTGGGTTGAAGAGCTTGAAAGAAGACACAAAGAAGCACATTACAGCCTTCCTGGTGTGCTTGCAAATGAAGTCTGACAATGTCCTACCTCCTCCTGCTGAGATGTATAAGCTTGCCCAGTTTGTCCATGACACTTTCATGGCATGTGAGGTTCAACCTTTGCATGCTGGGCTAGCCAAATACCCGCCAAGTCCATATGACATTGGGCAGGCCTGGTTGTTGTTTGGCTTGGTGCTTCCATGGTTTAAACTATTGGTTTCCTAATTTTGCTTGTTTACCAGCTATCCATTTAAAACCATGTGCCTGCCAGCAATGCTAATGTTGTTTGTTTCCCATCTATTAATTGCAAACATGTGCCCTGCCAGGCTTTCTTGGACTCTTGCTACAGCCCTGACAATTTGCCATTGAAGTCAACCCCAAAAATTGCAGCCAATGTAGCCAGCATTGCCAGACAAGTGAGGGTCAGGATCAACTCTAAAGAACTCAGGCCTGTGGCCACCCCCCAGCAAGCACCAGCTTCTTCAAGCTCCATGGCCACTGGCATGGATCAGGTCATGGGCATGAGCTGCCAATTTATGAAGATGATGGTTGAACAGGCCAAAGCCTTAGATGCCATGAAGAGCCAGTTCCTTGCCAATGACAAGGGTGGCCTGTCAAAGTCCTCTTCTGGGCTTTCTGTGGGGTCTGCAGACCAAAGTCAAGAACCCACAGCTTTGCTTCATGGCAAGGTGTTGCCTACTGCTTTAGAACCTTTGCCTCTACTTGCACCTCCTGCTGGTGAAGAGAATAAGCCTGATGACCCTGGCCAACCTCAAGGGCTGAACAAGAGCAATGACAAGAAAAGCCTTGAAGACTATGAGATGGAAGCCAAAGAAGCGCTTTCAAAGAGGAAAGCCAAGGAGATGGACGCAGTGATGAAGAAGCCAGCCACCAAAGCATCCTCACAAGGTGTGACACTCAACAAGAATGTGACCAAGAAGAGAAAGGACTATGTGGATGACAAGGGGCATGTCACACCAGCCTTCCTCAAGGGAATATATGGCTGCATTCGATGCAGGGGCAACATCAATGGATGCAGTGTACGCCAATCTGAACATTTTGGAGGGCAACGGTTTAGCAGCAGGGATGAGTACAACAAGTGGTACCAAAAGAAACAGCAAACAAACAACAAAAGGAAGTGAAAATATTTCCTGTCAATCTTTGTGGCTCTGACCCATGCAGAGCTTGGGGTGCCTTTTTTAGGGAAGTGGCCATGCACCTGGCATGAACAACTGTGATACAGGCTGTGTCCTAGCAAAAAAAGAGATTGTGAACCCAGTGGTTAGCTGTGCCAAGACTATCTTGACCATGTTTGATGTATGTTTGACATGGTTTGTTTGCAGAGCTGTCAGAGCTTTCATTTGTATGCAAGCCTTTGGGGCTTCCTCTTTGAACTTTTTTGTTTCAATTCAGGCCCAAGCCTCAACTAGCACATGGTTCAAAGCCAGGCTTTTCACAAGCCCAACATTATTTCACCAGTGTAGCAAATGTGTGAACAACCTTTTAGTTTGACTCACACACTTTGACTCTTGCATGTGACCAGGCACTTTAAGTTCAATCACTTCCTGTTCGGTTTGTTGCTTTACTTTTCACATATGCCTCTCCAGCCATGCCAGACTTTGGAGAATTGCAGAGATTCAGGCAAAGGGTTCCCTTATGCTCCCAATCAGCACTTGAAGCTATATTGACTTTGGCTTCCCAGGAGGGTATTCCAAATAGCCATAAAAGGAAGCAAATCAGGGAATCAGTTGAGCAAGTCATTGATGGTCTCAACGCTTATGGGCCTTTGCTGGTGACAGTTACTGCAATGACTTTGACAGATGAACCAATGGATTTGGTATTTGCTAACATCTTCAGCTATTTGGCTGGGGCCTATGCAGCTGGTGGCTGCTTTGCAAACTATTTAGAGATTGTCCACAACAACAACCCCAGTTCATTTAGCCGACCTTGGCACTGTGCACTGTATGCAGATGAGGTTCACCCAGGGAACCAGTTGGCTGGTACTACAGGAAGACCTAGTGCCTATACTTTAGCTTCTCTGAGTTTGGCTCCATGCTTTCAAACTCTGAAGCTTGGTTCACTGTGCTTGTCATGAGGAGTGAGCAAGTAAGTTTACTGGCTGCAAGCATTGGCCAAGTTTACAGATTGGTGCTGGAACACATGTTTGACAACAAGTATGCACACCCTCATGCTGGTGTTCTACTTCAGAGAGGTGACAAAAGACTCAAGCTCTATTGGACCCTTGGGTTTTTCATTCAGGATGGCAGTGCACAAAAGTACACCTTCTCCAACAAGCAGGACGGTGGCAGCAGAGTTCGCATGGCATGCAAAAACCTTTTTGTGCTGACCAGAAATGAAGAAGAAGGAGACAAAGAAATAGCCAAATTTACTAAATACAGCCAGTTGGACATTGCCACTGACGATGAAATCTTACAAAGTTGGTCCAGAATGGCCAAGAGAAAAAAAGAGTGTAGCAAAGCAGCCTTTAGGCAGTGGAGCCAGGCCTCTGGCATTGACTTTTCAGATTATGCATTGTGTATGAGCAGCATATTGCAACAGCGAGATCTTTTGCGCCCCATCAGCCAATACATGCATGATTTCATGCATGCCCTTTGTAGCAATGGTGTCTTACAGTGGATCACCTTTTTGTTGATACAGTCACTCCAGTGCAATGGTGCTGTTGATGTTTGGAAGCAGCTAGAAGGCTTTGTTCAAATTTGGAGCCACCCAGCCAGCCACAAGTGTGGAGGCATGCAGCAGCTTTTTCAAAGGCAGTTGAGAACCACAAGAAGGCAATGCGATTTAAGTGCAGTGCCAGTGAAATGCTGTCATTGTACAGAGTGCTAGCACACTATGTTCATTTGCGTTGCCTGCCCAATGATCTTTGTGTTGAGGCTTGCAGGTGCTATTTGGCATGGACAGCTGTGTTGGACTATTGTGTGTGTCCATTGCCACACTACCACATCCAGACAGCCAGCAGCTGCTGACTTGCATTGAAAGGGCATTGGCTGCCATGGTGGAAGCAGGGTGGTCAGAGGAATTCAAACCAAAAATGCACTGGACCTTGCATTTTCCAGACAGTTTGAAAAACCATCAGCACTTAGTTGCCTGCTGAGCGATGGAGCGAAGACACAAAGGTATCAGAAAATATGGTACACTATTGTGCAACACTCAGGCATGGGAGGCCTCACTGCTTAAGAGTGCAATTGCAGAGCACATGCACCTGCTGGGAGAGGAGTCAAACCTGTTTAGGATGGACACCTTCTTGGAAGATTTGAAGACCCCTAGCAAAAAGATGATGGCTTCACTATATCAATTTGGCGTGGTCCCTGCAGGTGTCTCTTGCAAGTACAGCAGATGTTGTAGGCTGGCTTCTGGAGCCACAATTACTTGCGGTGATGTTGTGTACTTGCATTCAGACATTTCTGTGGGCCATCCAATACCATTCCAGGCAGCTCAAGTGCATTACCACCTGAGCCTACCTGCTGGGGGAAGTGGCCCTTGTTGAGAGATATAAGTTGCAAGAATGCAAGCCTTCACAGATGTGTTCCACATGGCTTGTGTGCTCACCCAGAAACCTGGGCCTCATTAGCTTGGAGGAAATCATCTGTGCTGTGACCTACAGCTCTGCCAAAGGCAAAGTGACATGTCTCACCCCAGCATTTTTATATTTGTGAAGAAAAATGTGCATTGGTTCTTGCAAGTGACCACATACATTGCAAAGTGTTGGAAGAGACATTTCATGCTTTGTTTGGTTCTGCATTTTAATGAATAGCCTTCAAGGGCTTGTGTCATTGTCAGTCGAAGCCTACAAGGGCTTTTGTGTTATACAAAAAATGACAATTACTTTGGAAATTCTAACTGGTTTTCAAAGGCACACCATTGCAGTGATTATTCCTTTTTGAAAAAACTTTCTTGTTTTTCATATCTAAAAACGACTTTAAAAACATTAAGCTCTAACTAGTTATAACTAGCTAGCAACTGTTAGCTAACTATGCTAATTTTGCTAACCCATTAGCAACACCCCAGCCCATCCAAGAA